GGTCAAAATAGCTTTTGATCAAAAGAACACACATAATTGATAATATAGGAATCAGCAGCCTTAACTTAAAACCTGCTTTTATGATGTGACTGGATGATTTGGAAGGTGTTGAAATTCAATTCTGATCTGAGAAATGCACCAGAGGGACTGCAAAAAACTGTAAATGGGTAAAGTCAGAGAAGATTAGCTTTGACTGGTTTCCATCTTAACCTTTGTGACCTCCAGCCTGATCCCTCATGTCACACACCATCCAAATCTCTAATCTTGGTTTTCACACTGAACAAAAAGGCTACCGCTTCTGTCTCTCTCTTCCACAACTCACTCTCATCCTAACTTGGGGGACTGATGATAAAGGAGACAGAGGGAGTGGTAGGTGGAGTGAAGCGAGAAATGGAGAGGGAAGGTGATTTTTTTGGGAGGGTTGAGTCCGCTGTGTGAGCGATAAAGCGCCACAGGCTGCCTTAATGAAAAGCCTCTCACAGCGATGGGGAGATTGCCTGTGGAATGGGCTACTGATTGGAGGACCAGCAGCTTGGTGTAGCATGGAGACTAATTCAAGTATTGAAGGAGTTCGGATGACGGGGGGAGATTAGTGCTATACCATAGTGATATCTGAGCCAAAGACAGCTGGACAAATATACCTTACATTTCAAACAACTGGGAAAGTTGGGTCAAAGTGGCAATACCTCACTGTCAACTAGTTCAAGAGTGACGGCATGTTAGGCTCGTGTACATGGTTGTTGTCCTTAGCTGCTCCCAACAGGATAAGCGAAACCAGTAAGAGGCATAGTTACATCTGTTTTCAGAAACATTGCCCCATTGATATTGATAGTAAACAGATCTGTTGGGTGTTTTTCATGAGCAGACAGCAGTCCCAGTGAAAACTGTCCACAATGAGGTCTGTGGCTTATCTCAATACACTCTGAAATTGTGTTTGGAAGTAAAGGCTGCTGTTGATGTCTAAATGTGATTTAAACTGTAAAAAAGCTGAAGGCAGAAGCCTCAAATCTCATAACTAAATAAAATACAATTGCCTGCATGGTAGGATAACACTTGAAGAAAACTGTTATATCATAATGTTTTTACTCATATGGGTTAAATTATCATCATCATGGAATATAAAAACCTGTTTCCAATTTCATTGTGTAACTGTAAACATGAATAAATGCTGATCTTTACTTGATGCCATGCTTACCATGTTTACCACATGAGTTTAGTTAGCATGTTAAAATAGGTTACTAACACTAAACAAAAAGTGCAAGCGGGGCTGCTGGGAACGTTCTGAAGGTTTTTCGGCACTGAATAAATAGAATACTGTACACATGTAACTTCTGTCGGTGCTGTGCTTTTTTGGAAATCGAATTTCCCAGAGGAACCCACCCGAGGGATTAATAAAGTTCTATCTAATCTAATCTAATCTAATCTAATTTAAGTTTAATGGAGCTGGATAAAAAGTTAAAATGTAAAAAAGGCAAGAAAACTTTAAAGGGACATAAATGGATGCCACAAATATGATGGTGAAGACACTGAGCTCAAAACATGAGGAAATGATTTGTTCTCCAACCAGTTGGGGAGTGGTTGCTGGCTATCTCTAGACAAAATTTGAATTCAAAAATAAAAGTTGTGCATTTTGAAACATGTTTGCTGCAGATTAATAATACATCTTTTGCTTCTGTGTTCTCTGTTTCACTACAAGTCGGTGAGCAGCTGGGAAGCGTCTATAGACAAATCAGCATTTTCCATGCAAATGATGCGTGACTGTAGTAATGTGCTAATGAGCCAAAGAATTACAATGAGGTTTTTAGTGTAGCACTGTATACTTCTTTACGACCAATTTCACCCAGCAACTTCCAGCAATCACTCACCAACCAGTCAGGGAATACACATTTTTCACAGGTGACCAGTGGTTGCTAGGGGTCACCGATTGGTAAGACAGTAACTATTTCAATCTGGTGTCAGATTTCTGAACACAAGCATGAATAAAGAAACAGATGTATTACTCTTCTTAGACTTATCCCTGCCGTTGATTTAAACTCTTTTCCCCAGATCTGCTCTATACCTAGATGCTGGAATCATCTGGAGCCACAGCAGGAAAAGTACATACTGAATTGGATATAATAGGTGAACTGGCATCTCATGTCATCATCACTGATCTTTCTCAAGGTTAAAAAGAAAAAAAAAATACCTGAGTGACAGAGAAACAGGACAGGAAGGAAGACAAGAAGTGGATAGAAGCAAATATATAAGGGTAGGGAGAGATAGGCTGATTGGACACACGAGAAGACAGACAGTGTCAAAGGTCATTGAAAAGCTGTCAAACTGTCACTGCTGTAGCGTCTCACTTTTTAAATGTGTGTTTTATCTCATGTGGGTTAACTCTGAAGTCAGAAACTTTCAAAAGTTGGTGTGAAATATCTTAACACGTGTCACTTTCCATCAGTCTGTTGTCCTAATTTGGCATGAGCTCCTTCACAAATTATCATTTGTCATTGAGTTTCAGCTTTGCTTGTCACTGCATACCTAACACCATAATTTCCCACAGGATTAATAATGCAGCAGTCTGTCCATCAAGTGCTGAGAAAAAGCCAGAAAAGTAAACCACTTCCTGCTGGCATCTCGACACCAACGGCAGAAAATATCATGGGATGATATGGAAGGAACTCATTAGTGAGTGGCATTTAAGCTGCAAACCCATAACATGAACCGGGGATTTATAATATCAACAGAAAATGATTGGCAAGTCCTAAACTGGTGGAGATATTCAGGCTCTCCAGTGACCGTGTTAACAAAACAATTTAAAACTGTGCTGTTGGGGAAACATTATTTGATCTTATGTAAATTGCAGCTCTATATTTGGTAACACTTAATGACCATCCACTGGCAACAGGAACATGGTCCTTTCTGGTTGAACGAGTTTTTCAACCAGGAAGAGCCATAAATAATTCTACTGCTGCAAATGTAAATCCACAGGCAAAAGATTTATCTGTGCACATTGCATCATACTGAGTGGGGAGTTAAGTCAGTGGAAGTTAATTTTAGTAATTTGTTTAAGAAGAAATAATTTTTCATAACCAAAAACCTGGCCCATTTTTTGAAGACAGCTTACACTATCATTTCAACATTAGTTTTTATACTGCAGCCAGTAAGATCATTACTCTGCATTGGAGTACACTGTTATTGCTGTAACATTTAACTAATAAGATGCAGCACACAAATATATCTGAACATTTATGTTCTTTTAAGCATTTTAAATATATTCTTTATAGTCTTTAAAGAACAGATAAACACATCAGGAGTTATAAACATTACTATGCACTAGTCAGCACATTCACATTACATCCAGCTTTTTCCAGATAAAGCACTTTTAATGGAGCAGCTCAGTATAACACAGTCGATTTGAATCCACATTTTACCATTTAGTGTTTGCTTCTGTCGGAGTCACATGTTGACGCAATAATCGCCTTTTGCGGCAAAAAATGGTCAAAATATGCCAGAGAAAATACACAAAAATATAATATAACAATACAACTAAGAATACAAATACACTGATTATGAACTGAAACACTTATAGCAACTTTAAAAGGTGTCTCTGATGAATATATCTTCTTAAATAAAACACAGATAAAATTTTTCTCGTGTTGTGCTCGTGACAACATTTCTATGACCTTTTGCATCACAGAGATAACCTTGTTTCCCCATGCATTTGCACTTACCATACTGTATAGGTTAGCGTGTTGTATAGACCAATCCAGTGACCAATTTGTGTGTTCCACCATTTTTCAGTGCCAGAGACAGCAGCAAGGGTATTTGGATCGACGATAGCAGGGACTGGCCCCTAATTACTGTTTGTATGTAATGCTGACTTTGTGAAAGTGTGGCTAACCTTGGTACATGCTTATATTTCACAATCTAAGGAGCTTGGAAAGAAAAGCGTCTGGACTTGTTTAAGTTGCTTGAAGACGTTTCACCTCTCATCCGAGAAGCTTCTTCAGTTCTAAGGTTAAATGGTGGAGAGTCCCAGATTTAAACCCAGTGGGAGTTTTCCCCCACAGAGGGACAAAGGACCCTCTGGTGATCCTCTACCTAATCACATGAGCCAAGGTGTGAAAACGGGTGTGGGTCACAATCAACCAGGGTTTCGGGTGAGCTCATTATGAAACCTGGCCCCACCTTATCATGTGATTTCCTGATGGCCCAGGATGTGAGTGGGCGTTAAGACGTCTGGGAAGGGATCTCAAAACTGGATTATAGATGGCAGAGAGTTGGTGTCGTAAACCACCGCCTCTGTTCAAAGATGGTCGCTCACAGTGGACATAAATGGCTTCTTTCACTCCTCTTTCAAACCATCTGTCCTCTCTGTCCAAAATGTGAACATTGGCATCCTTAAAAGAGTGACCTTTGCCCTTTAGATGCAGATGAACTGCTGAGTCTTGTCCCGTGGAGGTGGCTCTTCTATATTGTGCCATGCGCTTGTGAAGTGGCTGTTTGGTCTCTCCAATGTAGAGGTCTGGGCATTCGTCCCTGCACTGTACAGTCCAGGCGCTTTTCTTTCCAAGCTCCTTAAACTATGATGACCTGGATGACTGAGAGCCTTCACAGACATATATTTCACAATAATGCTACAATTGGTTGCCTGAGTTGGTTTATTCTGTGACCATTGCTTCCCCTCATTAACATTAGCTAAGCATTGTTAACCTAGCTGATGTAACGGTGCTGCTCTCACAGTGCCTTTCAGGCTGAGTAACTTCTACTTGATAAGCTACGTAGGCAGATGCAAATTAACGATACAACTAAATATAGTACTCTTATCAACAAATTAACAAATTCTGTTAATATTCTTCATCTACTTCTTCCAAACGCTGATCCTCTAACAGGGGTACATTTGAGCTTTCCATGAAAATTAAATGAATGGTACTCTCTTAGAGTAGTTGACCTTTGGTACTTTATTTGTCTATAAAATCTGTTGTATGTTTCAGTGCATATATTTTTAAGATAAATACCTTAACAGGTTTCTTGCGTGATGACTCAGCCTCATTGTTTTCAGCCTCCTCATGCTCCTTGCTACCTTGAGGCAGGTTAGAATAGTTGGCCAGGCTACTGAGAAGAGATGACACCATGGGGCTGGTGTCCATCTCCTCCTGCAGAAAAACAAGCAGACAGGAAGGTTGCAATCAGCATTTTAGCCAATATTATTAACAATCTCAATCAAACAAGTGAACTCTATAAAATGACCAATCACTTAGTGGCTGTTTCCATAGATCATTGCAGATAAGAAGCCATTTAATCTACTTGCTATCCTCTTTTGTGGATTTCAGCTCATTTGAAACAAAAACAAGTGTGCACACCATAAACCCCCTTTTCCTGTTCAATCTAGAAATCCCACTGAGAAGACATTGTAAATACATCTGTGCAGAGCGGAGGCAAATTGCCTCATTGAGGTTCAATCCTGCACCACTCTGAGATTTTCTTGCTTTAACCTGAGGTTCCCACATGCCCTTCACACAGTAATTACCCTCATTAATCGATGTCAGAGCCCCTATTCAATCACTGAATTGTGAAAACGAGTGTATCCTGCTTCTTACCATCGCATCTGATTGTGTGTGTTAACAAAATCAATGTGTGCATGTGTGTATGTGTGTGTATGCGGAGTATTGCATTATACCTCAAACAGGGCCATGTTCTTGCGGTCATATTGCTGAGTCTTCTCTGTGGCAGCATCACTGCTGTTGATGAAGGGGCTGCTTTCCTTGGGGTTACTGTCTCCTGGAAGAAACAAACACACATCTACTTTTAGAGTGGTCTGAAATAAAGCAGAGGACAAAGAGCATGTTAGGGGAGAGGATAATGCACAAGTCAGACAAAAGATTCCTGATGTCAAAGGAATCATTTTTGCAACAACTAAAAGTAACAACTTTTAAAAATAGGTAGACTTTTGGAATAAATACTTTTTTATCGTTAAAATAAAGAAAAAACACACAGAATGCTCAAAGCAGAGGACGTCTGATAAGGAAAGCTTGCCATCTCCTTGAAGCAGTCAGAAATGCTGAGCAAGAGAAGCATACCTAATGGACTGTGTATTGACAATATGTGAAGTGCTATGTATTCCATATGGCCATAGGAAGAAGACAACCTGGACGTGTCAACCAGTGTTTTCACCTCACTGAAAAACAACATCACAACTCTGAACGCAAACACAAAAAAATGGTCTACAAGCCAGCAGCTTTTCTTACCCTGAACAAAAAAACCCCTGACTTGTAGAATCAGCCTGATAGTGACAGCTTGCTGAAGGAAACATGACTCTATCGAAAAGCATCTGTCTACGAGTTCACAGGCCCAGAAATAGGGCCAGAACAAACAAATCCTCAAAACAACGTGTAGTGAGAGGGAAGCATCCAGCTCTTTGCACATTCATTGATTCTCATTATCTGAGATCAAGAAGTTCATTGATTTCTAATTGACATTTGAAAATTCAGTACACCTCAGGCAGTGTCCAATCTATTTTTTCCCTTTATACCGCGAGCAACTGCCTCCTATAAAACACTTTCTTGACATCTCCCTCAAAGCAGCAGGATTTTATTTTAAGGACCAAAATCTTTTTGTCATAATTATGTTTATGACAAAACTTTACTGGGTGTAATTTCAACTGACTGTTCATTGTATGATATGGAACTGATAGAAGAAATACTATTTTCTGTGCATACAATTTTAACACCTTGATTGGGTCTTCACAATAGATACAGTGGACACTTTAGTAGCTACACCTTGCTATTATAAGCTTAAGACCCACTTTTACCTTCAGACCTGCCAAAATTCTTAATATTGTTGATTGTACAAGGTGCTGGAAACATTTTTCAGATATTCTGGTCCATACTGACATGATAATATCACTGAGCAGTTGCAGGTTTGTCAGCTGCGCATCCATGGTATGAATCTCCTGTTCGTATCATGGAGATATGAACAGGAGATTTGCAGCATCCCAAAGGTGCTCTTTTCCATTGTGATCTGGTGACTGCAGAGTGCAGTGAACTCATTGTTATGTTAGGGAAACCGGTTTTAGATGGTCTGAGCTTGCTGGAAGCAGCCATCAGAAAATCTGTACAATGTACAATCAGTCTTTTGTTATTTAGGTTTTTTAATCTATTTTTATTCTGTTTTAAGATGCTTCACTATTGATAGCGTTTTTTAATTGTGTTATTATTGTTTGCGACTTTTATCTCTGTAAAAGGAGCCATATAATACAGGGGCTATAAAGGGATGGACATGGTCAGCAACCATACAGTGTGCACTGTGGTAACCATCATGAAAAATGACAAAACCAAAGCTGCCAGTCAAACTTCCAGTGAATCAAGACAGAAACAGGACCCTCTTGGTCTGGTGACAAGTAATCTTTACTGCTGCAAAATGGACCAGACATAAGGACTTTATTGCAGTAAGCAGAGTCACACCAATTGACTCTCCAGACTGATGTGCATACACATATAAGTAAATACACACACAGTTACACATATATACAAACTTTCTTCGTGTATACAGGACATTGATCAGGACTCAATAAAGGGATCAATAAAGACGGGACTCACATAAAGATGGGCACAGGCATCAATTAATTCTTATCAGTGTCGCTCGCTACAATGTAGCACTCTTCTTCTAGTATTCAAATGAAATGAAAGTTACTAAAATCCTGTGTGGACCCGTAAATCAATCCAAACATAGCTACTCGACAGAGATGTGTGAAAGACTGATATATTGCAGTCATCAATCAAACCTTTGAATGTCACCAACACTGCAGAGTGACATTTTCTTTCTGAAGGAAACACGTAGCAAAAAAAAAAAAAAGGGATAAACCTTCCAGACGGTTACTTGTAATCGTGTTAGCACAGTTAGCACCATCCTACATCTTCATGAAAATTCAAGGTGTCTGTTTACATTATGCATTGATATTTATTGCTCTAACCTTTGTTTTGGCTACGTACTTGAAATGCTTGGTCACCAGAAATTTGCACTTCTCTAGAAAAATAATTGCATTCACAACCATTTTATACATAAAGTACAATGAAGGTCTGAGTGGTGAAGGTAGTGCAGAGTGAGCCATCTTATTCGCGCCTTCCCCTTCGAGCATCTCTTGAGGGAGACAGCAGATTGCGCTCCCTCTGGCTCTCGGTCCTGTCTTGGACTGCGAGACCGAGTTATTTATAGCCAAGATGCCGCAGCCATGTGCCATGACGTTGGGGCACCGCTAACAGCCGGCACACTGTTCTAACAGAGATGGAGCAGTAGACAGGGACACTGAGAAAAGGGGCCATGCATGAAGATTCGGAGCATAAAAAGAGCACAGGGAGGTTAACACAAAGAGATGGAAAGTGAGAGAATAAGAGTACTGATGAGAAGATGAAGAGAGACACAGATAGATGGGGCAAGAGTAAACAGTGACAAAGAGAGAGCGATACAGGCTCAGACAGGACAAAGACGAGGCAGCCAAATCTGAAATGGGAACCCGCAGAGAGAGAAAGGGAGATGCAAAAAGAGGGACGCTCACGTCTGCTGCTGCAAAATGTAAAAGCTTCTGCAGCACTAAAGGTTCAGCTCACTTTGACCTCCAGGTTAAAACATACACTATGGTTAAAAGGAGGCCGGAGCATCTAACAGAGGGTTTTCAGAGCATGTGGATTATTTAGCTGGTTTATTTTCACTTTGTCAGAGCGAATCAGGATGATACAGTGTTGTGCCTCGCTTGAGATAAAACAAAATGAGCCTTCTTGTGCCCAGCAGAGATTAGACAAACATCTACAAACACACATATACACAATACACAGTCTGACTAATACACGGATGAATCTGTCTGTTCGTCGCCCATCTCAACATCAAACTTGCTTGATATGTTGCTGGGTAAGTGCAGTATTGAGTTTGACGTTGGGGGACTTCTCTCTGTTACTAGGCAACATCATCAACTGGCAACCTCATAATGATGTCACAGTTCAGATAACATATTTTATAAACCTCCTCTGCCTGCGGCATCTACCTTTGCTCATGCTAACGTGCCTGTGACAGCAGGCGCTGCTTTCAAATGCTTCTGTTTTCTATTCAAATTTGATTTAGAGCTAAAACACTTTTGGCTTTTACAGTACATTTATTTGCTACTTTTTCCATTTTTCATCATTAAAAAAAGATCTTAAAATTAGAGCCAGAAATTTCTCCACAATCCACTGCACAATATAGACAGTAAATAACTGATGTGATGGCTTTAAATGGTGCTCACACCATATCTGAACTGGAAAAAGATTTTTTGTATTTTGAACCTTCCAGTTTGAACGAGGGCAACAAATACTGGTACTGGACACAAATGTGAATCAAATGTGAATTTTCTCCATCCAAGGGATATTTTACTAAAACAGATCTTCTCTCTTTCATTTTCCCTTAAACAGCTTTATGTTTGTCTAAATCTCCTCATCCTCCTTGCTGATAGACATGACAAGTGGGGTTTTTTTTGTTTTACATTTTTATATTAATGTATCTATTTTTATTGTAGGTAACTGTATGCATACTGTAAAGGCATGTCTTTCTTTTTTATTGACAGAAATCTGTAGTTCCATTTATTCCTGATAATCTGGTTTTAAAAATTAAATGTATATTTTGCTTCATTAAACAGAAACCAAATTAATACAGTGAGTTAAGAAATTACTATGTTTTTATCTGACTTGGAGTAAAACTCATCTAGAGGTACCCAAAATGTATCTTTGCAGGAAAACCCCCAATATGATGATTATGAAAGTTTGGATGCACAATGTAGGTTTGTAAATGGGACACTGTCTGTTATGTTAAATTATAATTTTTCCAGTCTTACATATATGCAGTTTGTGCTTATGCTATTTGCAAAGACAGATTTTGATTTCAAAGAACTAATCACTGAACCTTCACTGGCATTCTGAAATAAACAATACCAGAAATGAGACAGTTGACATTGGAAAGGGAAGCTATAGCTGCAAATACAGTCTGGTTTATAATGCCGCTCTGAGTCAGTATGATCAAATGCTACTTGTCAGATGAGGAATGAAAGAGCGATGGTGAATCATGAGTCAAACAGCTGCAGCCAGGTGATGGGAGCGTGACTTAGCGTCTCAGCCTGAAAGCCATGTTCCATTTCCTGATGTAAACCACACGACACAATCCTTCCGGTTTCTCAGAACTATAAATTATCATTATACAAACTTACTCCTGTGGATAACGGAAAAATGATGAGGGTAAATCTCAGGAATCAAATTTTAAGAGCTCTTTATTATAGATAATAGTAAGGAAGTGACTCTGACGGGTTAAAGCACATACACACCAAAAAACTCAAACAAAAAAAAAAGGGGGGAAACACACACACACACACACACCACACACACACACACAGTTGTACATCTGTGGGCTAATGTGCCCATAACAGCTCTTCTAACGTATCATTTATCTCTACATGGCTCATTTCTCCTCATTGTCTAATACTTAAAACTCCATCATCAAAAGAATGATGGAAACTATTTTTTGGGAAGAATGACAGTTCCCAAAAGAGTTTTGCTCTGACCGCATCCCCAAGCAGCTTATCCTTCCTCAGTCTGATGGGATCTGTTCAACAATGACTCTCAATATCAAAGTCTTTCCTTATCTGTGGTCAAAATCCAGAGCCTTTTGCTCACAGAGCATGTGATCATACTCTAAATCCTCTGCAAAATAAAAACACTGAACCTTCTTTTATGTACTTTTCTTATAGATTTTTTCCTCTTATTTTCTTATTTGTTACCATAGCAGACTCGTACCTTATTTACTAATATGACCATCAATGCGATTTACTTTTTAACAGAATTGTTTTACATGTTCGTAGCAATTTCAAAACAACATTATGTAGAGCAAGGCCGCTATCTTCAG